CATCCTTGTACATGCAGTGCTGCCATCTTCTGTTTCAGTCCGTTATTACACTCTTAAATCCTACAACTTATTCCTGCTCCAGTCTTTTGTGATCTTACAAAGCTTCAAACGAGGCGTCGACTATTAAATCAGTCGTCGACGATTTTGATAGTTGACGTAATCGTGACTAGTCGACTAATCGTGGCAGCCCTATTCAACACTCAGAATTTAGTAACAAACCTAAAGTCACACGATGAACAGACCAAGGACAAAAGACCTGCTCCCACAGTTTCTGTTTCCTGTTAGTCGATTTGTGTCATTTGGATTTTTGCTTGTTTGGTTTAAATAAGTGAACTGAAACTGAATTCTTGTTCAGACTGATTCAGATTGTATCTCTCACCCAATGACAACCAAACATTCACCATCACTAAATACAGGAGGAGATTATTGGTGCCATTTCATTTAGGATCAAATGTTTTGAGGATTAAACTTTTATTTCCTTCAGAAATCTCTTATGTTTTATATAGGGGTGGTTTCTGATTATCGATTAAAATCGATTCTAGCTTGGATAACATTGATTCATTAAAATCCTGAATCGATTTTTAAATATAAATTTATTTTTGCCCAAAACGCCAGAATCGCAGGTTAAACCTCACAAAATTTCAACAACCACCAAACAGCTAAAACAGTAAATGAGAGCAGGAACACGGATTCTGTACAAAGACGTAAACACAAAGAGTGGACCCGCCGACGCATCAGAATCAGTGAGATTCTCACCCGACGGCACGGACACGCCGTCGTGGTTGATTCTGATACATTGGGTCCACTCTTTGTGTTTACGTCTTTTTTGCACCAGATTCTGAGCTACAGGTTTTGTCTCTCTCCAAACAATATTGACTGAATCAGCAGCAAAAGAAGATCCAAACGACGCTTCACATTGATAAATGTCATCATGAATTCCCTCTTACTTTTGCTATTTTGTTTCCACCACGATAAAATCACAGTTTATGCAGAGCTCTCTCTCTCTCTCTTTCTCTCAGTTTCCCATCTAAAAATCTCTGTTTTCTGCATTATTCGCTTGCTTATTACCTACCAGTCACTGTTGTTCACAGCGCTGCCGGCCACATTTTTTTTGTTTGTTTGTTTGTTTTTTACTTCCGACAATAAATCCTCATTTCTGCTGCTCAATACTGAACAAATTTAAACTTTTTAAAATTATGCCAAATTGCAAAATGCTTGGCTGTGTCTCTAATAAAACCTCTACTTTTATTCTGGTTCCCTTTGATCTACTGCAGAATATTATCTGCTATAAAAAGCCAGGCCAGGAAAATCTCCTTCGTGTTTTTCTGTGTCTTATCCTCAGTTGCTTTATTAGGAAGGCATCTAAAATCAGTGATGATACCCAGCCCTAGTTTTATATTCAGACATTCGCGACAAATCATTAATGACCAAACAAGCTTTGTATCTTTTTGTAACACGATCTATTAAACTAATTTGGATTTCAGGTTAAGTTACCTATGAGTGTTTTTACCAACCACAAACCTTTGCAACAAAAAAAAAAACAGTATTGAAACAACAGAATAATCAAATAGTCATTAGTTCCTGTTTTTAACTCGAGTTGTTTTTCATGACATTGCACATCAGCTGATGAAAAGAATGACAAAATGACTCAGGTCAGTCTCACTTTCAAACCAGTCAAATCCCAGTTGCAGTCATGTGGGTGGAGTAGTTCAACAACAAACTGCAGGTTGGTACCAGAATGAATGTCTAAGATCAATATGTTTCAAACATGCACCCAACAACAAATCATTAATAACCAAACAGGTTTCCATCTTTGTAACACGATCCATTAAACTCACTGTGTTTTTAGTTTGAGCTACTCACAGTGTTTTTATCAACACAAACATTTTAAAAAGCAGAAGTGAACCCATGAGTGAGGAAATACCCAGACACCGCTCAGTCTCACTTTCAAACCAGTCAAATCCCAGTTGCAGTCATGTGGGTGGAGTAGTTCAACAACAAACTGCAGGTTGGTACCAGAGTCAAAGCTCCGTCCTACAGTCATTATGTTCTTGTACTGATCGGTGTCGTGTCTTTAAACTCGCTCTTCTGCTTTCAAGGTAAACAGCTTTTATTTAGATTCACTCTCAGTCACATTAGCAGCTGTGTAGATATTAGACTATCACAGCTGATCAACTAGATTTGATTCACATGTTGGTAAATTAATTAAATTCACTGTGAACTTTTCTTCTTTGCTGTTTGAGGTTGTAGCTTAAAATGAGTGACTTCTTTCTTTTAAATTTAATGCCTTTACTGTGGTTTATTTTCAGTAAAAATCAAGTATGATCGCATAATCAAAGTAAAAGTTCAGTCTAATCTAAAAACACAAGTTTTGTGTCTGTGTGTTGAGATTTCATGGAGTTATTATGTCTGCAGGCTGACTGTGAAGAGGACACAGAAACCAGCCAAATCAAGATGTTTCACTCTTCAGACTGTGATTTTGCTCTCGTCCATCCTTTGTGTGCATCGTGGGCTTCTTACTCTGTTTCTTTTTGGATTTTTATCCTCTGTTTCGTTTTAGTCAAAGGTAAATAAATCTGTTTCTGTCAGACTCTACTTTTAGTTCACTTTAAATAATTATATTTAACTGATAACTAAACTGTATGTGTTGATCCGGTTTCACATGTTAAAAATGTTTCCAATGTGACTTTTTAATTGCTCACATGTAATTTATAAACCGTTTATTTGTCTTTAATAATCACCGAGGGGACAGCGAGTAAGATTCCACCAAGTTTCCCGTGACCATCATTACAAACAGTTTAAGTTCCTCTTAATTCTCTTTGGACACATTCAAGATTGTGAACTCTCTCATTGTGCATAGAGCAGCAGAAAGGAAAATCCTGATGAAACTATAAACAGTACTTCCTGTTTCGTCATTTGTGAACTTTAATTTGAATTCAAAGAACAAAATCATTAAATAAATGAAGTCTGTTGAAGCTGCCACAGTATGTCAGAGAGTGAATCTGGACTTTTTGCGAGGTTGAAAAACTGAACCAGAACTGAACCAGAAACTGTTCTCAGAAAAATGAAACACACTTTAATAGCTGATCTTGTTTTAATAAAGAACTAATAATGAACTCTAGTAATGGCACGGCCTTAATAAAGGCGTCCAGCAGCAAAGCTCTCTGATGGTTTCATTATTTCCTTCATGCTAAGGAAAAAATCATTGTTTCATGTTTGTCACAGCAGAACTTCATTAGATTGTTGTTGTTGATATTGTAGTTTGTAGATGTGTGTTTGTTCTGTGTTATATGCAGCTATTAATTTAAAAATGCAGTCAAGGCTTTTTAAAACTACTATTTACAGAACAATCAGGTGTTCTGCATCAAATAAGATGCCACACAAATTATTTGTGCCTACCAAAAAGTAGTTTCTGTCCACTTCAAAATAAAGGAGAACATCACAAGCCTGATACCTGCAGGCCTGACAGCAGGAGGTGTATCACTCCTCCTGTTTTCCACCTGGAGACAGTGTTTCCACTGCAATCTGCCTTTGGTGGCTTTTCGGCAGCAAATGTGATATTCAGCAGTTGCCTCATTGTTCTGACAAAAAACAAAAAAATATCTACTACACTACACACTCCAAACACGCTAAACGTCACATCTTCCACATCTCAAATCTCTGGGTTGGGGTCAACATAGCATCTTGTTGCTATGTCACCTCAAGTGGTCATGCAATTGGCTTAACATGACTGCTTTTCTTTGGCAGTCAATCAGCAGCACTCATGTGATTGTTTGCCCCCCCCCCCCCTAGCTCCCAGTAAGATGAAGACAACTTCAACCGTGTGTGTGTTAAAGAATAGTAACGTGTCCGCACTGAATTTTCTTACTAGTAATGGTAACAGCGTTGTAATGATAGAAATAGTAATTAGTTACATTACTAGTTCTGAAAAATGCCATCACTGTTCACAGAATGCTTGATAAAATGTTTGTTGTTGTTAATGTCATGTGATATTCACTGCAATCCAAATAAACATGTTGTCCATGTGATCCCAGACAGGAAACAAGACTTTAACAAACAGCTGAGGGAATCTTCTTTTTTGTTGTTGTTGTTGTTGTTGCTTTGTAACAAAGAATATTTACGTAACAATATCATCTACTTCTACCGTTTTCTTGTTTCTTTGCAGGAAAATCTCATCTGGTGTGTCCATCTCAGGTTGTAGCCATGATGGGTGATGATGTTGTTCTTCCATGTCAGCTTAAACTTGCTGTTGATACAAACTCTGAGACTGTGAACTGGATCAAACCTGGTCTGGACCCAGATGT